AATATTTATACTTTCATCCTTCGGCAGATGTCTATGTTTTGTCCAAGCGCTCGTCTATTTATGCTTTGAACAAGGCATTGGGCCTCTCGTACGGGCTTGAGTCAGTTTGCCACCAACTCAATAACTTCTACTTACTATACGCCAGATCTTAATATTATAATTTGAAGTGTTGAATAACAGTAGAAAAAGGTTTACTCTCCTATGTATAAAGCTCTTGCATTTTACAACCTTCCTACCTAATATCTATTAACAGGCGTAAACATGTACAAATTCACATCCGTACGAGAGCCGAAGGCTTTGATACTGGGAACGTGCGTCGTCGCTAACTGTAGTCCAAAATCCTACGCGCATCGATAAAAAAAAAACATTCAACTTAACAAGCGGTGAATACACTGCGCGAGTATAAGATTCCCGCATCGCAAAATAGATATAAACACGAGACCTGGTGACTGAGGGGACATCTTTGTATACTCTTCTACGTCCTGCTTTCCGCATACCTATGTGTGCAGTTGTGACATGAATAAAATGATGCAGATCCTGCTACATCAATATGCACAATGCGACGTGTCAGTACTTTAATATCTTACGTGAAGGCTAACCTAGAGCGGTTTGAGCACCAACACCTTGGTAGTCTTCAGCTCGGAACCATAGTGACTACACATTGATCCTTGGAGGATAGGATTATTAAACAACATCCTCCAAGAATGGTCTCCCTCGTGTCTCGCCTTTTGTTTTTCCTTCCCCTCTCCTAGTTTCGACCACCACTGCCGCCATGGATCCGGTGCAATTGAGAGGCTCGGTAGACAATGACATCTATCTGGGCATCTGGACGGATCAATCCCTGGGAAAGGTCTTGGGGACCACCTTGACACTGGATCGCCAGTCCGGTTCCATCTTCATTGCCATGCTCGCTCTTTACATCACAGCGGCCGGCCGTGGCTTTTGGCGCATCTGCCGTTATTTCTTGCATCTCTACCTCTCCAGGAACGACAACATCGATGGCGTGTACCATCAGCGGCAAACTATTCTAAGGAATCTGGAGGTGGGGTTGGATAGCACGCTCGAGCTGCTTTGTGTGGGATATGGATGGAGGGGAAGAGCGAAGAAGAGTTGGAGGAGGGTATTACCTGTTGCTGCGATCGCCTTGTTTATCTATGTTGTTTTTGTAGCTGCGGGTGCGTACGACCTTCTACAAAAGGTTTTGCGGCAAGTGGGCTGACTGGCAGATTTTTAGGTATATTCTCGTCTAAATGGATAGATCGTTCGATGATGCAAGGCAACGAAGTCCTAATAGCCGGACGAGACTGCGGCAAATTGGATTCCGGCACAACTTTCTCCAATCAGTTTTCATTCGACAGAGATCCCGTGCAAACAGCGGCCCTGGCACAAGGCTCTATAGACGCCCTGTCTCGGGCCGCTACATGCTATCGGTCACAGAACGCGACAGAACTACGTGACTGTCGTACTTTTACCCACATGAGGCTCCCTTACAGAGCAGACAACGACTCAATGTGTCCCTTTGGGGCACCTGTTTGCAAAATGGAATCGGGTAACATCAGATTCGATACTGGAAGACTGGACAGTTTGGAGCATCTGGGTATCAACAAGGGGCCGCGCTTTCACCTCCGTCATCAAGCCTCATGTGCACCGTTGAAAACTGAAGGCTACTCGGAGGTTGTTGACGACATCAGAGGTAACGGAGGGAAATATATCGGGTTTAACTATTGGATGAATGTTCAAACCAAGAACGCAGCGAATATCAATCATGCGCTTTTTGTGCCGTATTCAAACTCGACAGAACGCGATACCTCCCGTGGAAACTACCAAGTCACGTAACAAAACCCCCTCCTTATGTAGTTCTACGGCATAACATTCTGAACGAAAGGCTAACCTTCAAACCCAGCCCACTACAATGGACCTACGTAAAGAAAGCAAACTACAGCATCATCACCGAGCTCGACAACCCAACAGCGCTACTATCCCTCATGTTTGTCGAAAAATCCCAAATCAGCACCCGATACAACTCCACCGACCCGTGGCTGGGCATGACGAAGAGGGCGGGCCCGAGGTCTGCATTGTACCTGGCAGAAGAGCCCATCAACGTGCTCGGCTGCTTCACGACGCGAACTTTCTGTCTCCCTACCACGAGCAGCGATTCATGCATGACATGGCACTCACCAGACAATGCGACGGAAATGGCGAAACTGTGGCCGAGCGAGAGCGACCGCGCGCTGCTGAGACCCCTCTTCGCCCTGCTCGCCTATGGCGACGCGGGAAGTCTGGATTCCTTCTTTAGCAATTCGAATACGCCCAACTTGCTAGCGCGCAACACGTTGTCTGGAAGCCGACAGATGGTCAGGCTCCCACCCAATTGGTGGCAGCATGAGCTCGAGTACTTATTCCAGGGGAGCTTGGCCGCGACACAGAGAGCCGTCGTTGCATATGCAAGGGGAGAGCCGTGGACAAAGTCCGCGGCAGCTCTGGCGGGGGGAGAGGACAATGAAGTTCTGTGTCATAGTCAGGTATATTCCGTCCAAACCCCCAAAATAAATCACCGAAGAAAAAAAAAGAAGCAAAGAATTGGAGGGAACGTAGAAAACACACACACACTAACGCATATCCAAAAAAAAACAGAAAATACGCAGCCTCGAACACTACTCCTTCGCCGTCATCGACATAGCCTTCGTCTTCGTCGTAGGACTCATCTTCATCTCGCTCTCACTCTTCCTCGACCGCCTCATCGACGTCGCTCCCCGCATCATCACCCCACTATCCCACAACCAGAAATTCATGTACGCGCGCGCCGAGTGGCAGGCCGGGTCGACGCTCCAGATCCAGCGCATGGCGCACGAGAACCTCGGAATGGGCACGTGGTCGCGCGCCAACCAGGGCGTGCCGGTGACGGAGAAGGGCGATCGGATTGCCGTGTTGGATGTGAGAGATGAGATGCATCCGAGGATGATGAGGCCTGATATCAGGCCCAAGGAGAGTCCTGGGGTGACTCCTGATTCGAGTGTTAGAGCGATGAGCAAGGGTGAGAGAGCGAGTATGGTGGATGAGTGGCGGAAGGGGAGGAAAAGTTTTCATGGGTTTTGATGGGGGGGGGGTGTATGTATGGAGCTGGGAGGCGTTGGGGAGTATCTCAGGTGTTGTTTGTTTTGGAGGTTTTTGGACTGGAAAGGCATAGGGGATATTTATCAATTCGCTCGCACATAAAAGAAAGAATGTTGGGATTAGAAGGAGTATGTAAATTAATCATGTAATGTCGCTTACTCTGGTGGTCGCGAGGAAAATGCATAGTATAGTTTTGGTCTTCCAGGGGAAAGGAGAGGGAAGAAGGGGAGAGCAAAAAATCAGAGGGGAGGATAGATAGATGTTCTTACGGCGTAGATGGTTATACGAGTTCTTTATCGATTTTGTAGATACGTTTGAGTAGAATGTGATATATGCAAGAGAAGGATTTTTTATTTCATACATATGTATTTGCAATAACAGGATTTAGATGTACTCGCAAACGTACTTGAACTCGATAAATCTTCGCTACAAGACCGGTAGCTCATGAAGAAATATTTCCCCCTTTCTTTCATTTCCACGTTTGTGATGATTTATTAAACAAGGAAATTGTCCTTTGCTATCAATTCTGCGATATCCAGGTATTACTCGTTCGTCAAAGTCAAGTTCCACTCCGGCGCGGGTGACAAAACCCCCTTTTCACTCAACACCAGCAAAGCCCCCCCATACCCTCCATAAAAATTCCAAATAATCAACACCAAAGAACTACCTACACACAACCAAATACCGAACAAAAAAGTTCTAAAAGTAAAACCGAAATAGGCAGCACGCCTCACCATCTCTCTACCGAGCCAACTAACTAGTCCTTCCCCCCTACTAACCCCTGTCCCTCCATGTCCCACTCAGCGTCCCACTTCGTCCCACCACCGCCTTCAAACACTTACATTCAATGAAAAAAAAAAAACTTGTATCTCGGCTACCTCTCAACTAACACTTCATCCTTCGTCTTCCATTTCCGTTGCTATGTTGCTATATAAGTTCTCTACACCTGGCTTTTCACCATCAAATCACCTCGAGCAACAAATCGAGAACAACAACAGCATTGGTGGTTTAGTGGTAAAATTAGCCGTTGCCATCACAAGCGCAATATCGGCTAGCCCCGGGTTCGATTCCCGGTCGATGCAACAAGACTTTCTTTTTTGCGGTTGAGGGGAAGTGTTTAGAGGGGTGGGTGAGTGGTGCTGAGGCGGGGGAAGGATGGGTCTGGTGGAATTTTTTTATGAGGCAGGGAAGGAATATGGATGTTAGACGACTTTGGGAATAGTGTATTTTATTAATATTCGCGTGGAATTGGGATTGTTTATTGGATTTCCGAATTTTTGTAGTTTGATGTGTAGTTGTTGAGGTGTGGGGGATTTTGTGCATGTGTACAACAACACTGGGTTGATTGTTTTACGCTTTTTGTTAAAAAAAAATTTTTTTTTTTGGGAAATCCTCAAGGCTCTTATGACTCCCGAGTTTCACTTGGATTTATTCGATTAATAAATCTCGACGGGTTGTCGAATTTCTTTCCCCAATATTCCCAACACGCATGGATAGTTGTGTCGATGGAAAAATCGGCCGCTAAGCGAGAATAGGAGCACCACGCACTTAGCGAGGGAAAAATATGCTAGGAGCACTGGGGAGATGTGGACGAGGCGGTTGGTGGAACAGCTGATTCGCTGGCTATGTGATCAGCTGGAAAGGGTCCGTAGGTTAGGTTATTGGAATGCTGCTGGATTGTACTGCCTGTATAAACTCTAGTCAGCGGCGGGGTGCGATTAGCTATATTAGTTATAGAAAGCCGTGCATATTACGTTATATGCTGGCCTAGGCTTAGGAACCCAGACTGCAAATTTTGTAAAGTACTTCCTAACCTTAAGTTTTGAGATGAATATATAAAAATAATAATTTGAAAATTTATATCTCCTCCGCACCGCAAGGAAAACGCTGGAATGGTCTAGTGGTATGACGTTCGCCTCACAAACCCCTCGAATGTGTGCGCGACAGGTCCCGAGTTCGATCCTCGGTTCTAGTATCTCGAATTTTTTCTTCTTTTTTTGCTGTCCTGAAAAGGGGGAAGGAGGAGTCGGCCTCGATGGTGCGAATGGTGAGGGGCGAGTTTTTTTGGGGCACGGGTACGTGATGCCTACTGACTCCGCGGGTGTTTTTCTTGTTCCCAATGTTACCCTACTCCATATCCCTCCTCCCATTACTTTTTTTCTTGTTTCCTAATCTTAGCAGTTTTTCGAGAAGATTAAAATGACCCAAGTGTGTGAGTGCACGGAGGACTTCCCTTTCCCTATTCTTCTTCAGAGAAGAGGGTTTGGAGGTGTAGCACAAATTTCAAGCTGACGAATAGGTGATAAGTACACTAAGAACTCAAAGTAACCCGTGCCGATGCATTGTACATCATGCAACGGCGGCTAGACCCTCTGCTAACATCTTCGTATATTAGAAATATGGTAGGGAAACACCGATTGCGTTGCCTAGTCCAAGGCCCAAGGGGAACTTGGAAGCCAAGAAACAGCACAGCACAGTGGGGAATCTTCCCTAGCACGAAGAGAAGCAGTGGCGGAGCTCATCGCGTCTACATCAAACCCTGGGCCCCAAGAATGACGAATCCATCCCCCAACTCTTCCGCTTAAGGTAGAGTAGTTAGAGCCGAAGTCTTCGTCGGTACGAAGTCAGAGACAATGCCGAGGTGACCGCGCGGCGATATTTTGAGAAGTTTGGACCGAAGAAAAGGGGAACATCGATGCGATTCATGAGAACACACGGCCTTGGTGAAGCTCCAGGATGAAAGACCAGCGTCCGGGATCTCGACTCGTATCATGTAATTGCACGGTATCAGAAAATGTTCCTCGAATAAACGGCAGATATGTCTCCGAATTGCATCATGCATGTGATGGTGATTTCACATGTGCATTCGAAGAGAACAAAGCAGTAGCCAAGCCCGATCCCCATCAGTGTAGACTCGTAACGATGCAGGAGGCTGGCACATCGACAACGAGAATCTTTTATCTCATCGGGAGATCGATCTTGTTTTCCCCACTTGGGTCCAGGTAGAGTGAGTGAGATAGATTGGATTGTTATGCACTCTACTATACCATCATGTTCTTCCACTTTGGGGGTTGCGTCGGCCGTCTCGAAGCGGTGGCTCCGAGGTCGTACAAGATAAATTCTGCCATTCGACTGGCGGGAAAGAGCATGGGGAAGTGGTACAGAAGATTGCGGGTAGGATTGAGGTGGACGTAAGCGTTTGATAGTCATATCGCTCTCGACATATAGCTTTAGGGGGGTCGGGATCGGAACACTAGTTAGCTCAATTGACCACGCGAAATTATTGCAGGTGATATAAGGTTTGGGCAGTTTAAACTTTGGAGCTGCTACTGTAGGTATAGCAATGCGACTTACGGTTCGATAGGAAAGGCCGAATAGTAATGCGTCTTGATGCACAACTTACAAGGTGTTGTCGGTTCTGAAGTTCCCCAACTTCAAAGGCTCGGTGTTTTTCTGCGTTGCAGTATTTGACCTGGCTGCAATGGGTATGGTTAGTGTTTCTGGGACAACCGCCAAGTGGAGACGTGGGATCATCAGAGTGCTGGTCTGTGCGACGGATGCAGGCAAGAGGCGGAGTGCTGTCGAGATGGTGTTTGACGCAACAACTTGTATTGTACTCGAAAACATCAAGGTCCATCGCTGCGACACAGCTCCAAATTCTGGGAGCATGTAGTAGTTCTGAATATAGTACAAAAAGAAACGAACGCGGGCTCAACAACGGTTCCCGCCATGTTCGGTCCGAACTTGGAGGATAATTTGCATTTGGCAGACGTCGACTCAGGGGGTTGGAAATCCCAGACGGCTGGTAGCGGCTCGGCGGCTCTTTCGTGGAATTTGAGCAAGTGCAAGTGATGATGACAACCGAGATTGCAGCGATCCCGCTTGCTCCTCGAAGCGTTAGCATCGTGTTTGTTGCTGTCTTGTCTGTCTGAATCTTGAGCCACAGCCGGACTGCCTCTAACTTAGGTGCTGCTACTTTCTTTAGCCTCGCTTTCCTCAGATAGACGAACGCGCTTGCAGCTACCCTCACGCTGAGCGAACAATGTGAAACCTTCTATAGAAACCCAAGTTTGGCCATGGAAGACGTCAGAACATTCAACACAGACAGTCACACAGGGTGCGGCACTGCACCTGTTTCGACCCGCGTGTGCTGTTTCGAGTCCCGTGCAGAACAGGCCTGAGCGTCGCTCTATTCGTCGCCATTGTCTCCAGACTACAGTGACCTGCAGTTGCAACAGCCTGTCGGAGCCGGGATCACCCCGCCAGCGGATGCGGGTGACTTCATTTGTCCCCAAACCCTAAGCGGCAATCCTATGTGCCTTTCCCTGGATCGGGTCCTCTGCATGAATGGTGGCAATCATCCAAAAACGACCAGGCTTGTGGTCATTGTGACTTATCAAAGCCCCGGACCCATCACTGAATATTTTGTACAGGGGTACTCTGTTGTAAATTCCCACGAGTACCTCAAACCCCCTCAACTTCGAGATGGTTCGACGGTGGCTGTCGTGTGTAACGAGACATATGTCAGACCATCTTGTCTGATCCCGAACAGGATGTGGTGGAAGAGCGCCACACCGAGAGAATGCTTCCTTTAGATCCTGCGATCCTGCTCGCTTGCTCCCATATCACGCGTGGTGGGCCATTACTCCCCTCCCAGAAAGATGGATATACCCCTGCTGTCCACACTCGGAGCATACCGTTCGCGGTTTGGAAACGCTCACTAGGCGCAAACAGATATACTCCCGACATTGCGCACGCCCCACATCTTATAGTGTGGATCGCCTATGCCCGCCTCCTAAGAGGGCGGGTGCTCCCTTCTTTTGCCATTGCTCTTTTCTCAGTTTATGCGAGAACGAACGAATCTCGAACCTGTTTCTGACCTCCGACCCTCTCCCGATCCATGAGCATCCGACTTCTTTAATTTCTCATGCCGGAGCGTGAGGGAGAGCATGTTGAGCTCCCGTCATGGCAAAAGACAACAAATACATCGTTTACATTTCACCAGAGAAGGAAGTCAACGCTGGATTATGGACGCTGTTCGCTGGTGCAACGTTTATGCTGTCTCTGCGACTATGGGTCAAGATAACCCGCAGGCACGGAGTGTGGTGGGATGATTATATTCTTTTGGCAACCTGGGTGAGTTTTTGGTCTTTCCTTGTTCACGTCTACTTCAAAAAGTTAATGGCAGACTCAGATGGTCCTCGCTGCGAACAATTCTCTTATTTCATATGAATACGCCACTGGCTATGTGCCCCCTCCTGGCTACAAATGGGATGATAGGATGCACATCCTCATCAACATCACTTCCTGCGGCACCCTCATCGGCCAAGCTTGGTCGAAGAGTGCCTTTGCAGTAACACTTCTGAAACTCACGACCCGCTGGCAACAGTACTTTCTATGGTTCTGCATCATCACCATGAACATGTACATGGTCGCAAAGTGTATCATCCAGTGGGGAAAAGTCTGCGATGAAAAAAGCTACGAAGTTTGGTATCGCGTCGACTTTTGTTTGGACTCAAAATTCCGAAATGACTTCAAAGAGGGAGGGAACAGTATGTCGATGTGCCCAGTGCAGACACAGAAGAATCACTGACAAGTTTCATAGTCTACAACATCGTCATGGACTTTATACTCGCCGCATTCCCTTGGTTTCTGACGTGGAATCTCCCAATGCGTCGCAGCGAGAAAATCGGACTTTGTGTTGCCATGAGCCTCGGAGTGGTGTAAGTATTCCTTTCCAACCTGATCTATCCTCTTCCATTGACTCTCTCCCAGCGTCGCATCCGTCGCTGCCGCGCGCGTAGCATGGAAAGACGAAGGCAACAAACGTGATCCACTCTATTACTGGCGGAACGGTCTCTCCAATGTCTGGTAAGTCGCATAATGTTGTTATCTTGTTTCCCTTTTCGATTGCTGCTTTTACCCGATCGCATGCCGTCCACCTTCCACCAATCACACAACCCTGCCTCAAACCGCGCATCCCTGACGCTCAGAACTAGGTATTCGTCTGAAGTTGCCGGAACAATGATCGTCCAATGCGTGCCTGTGCTGCGCCCTTTCCTCCGCGACTTCCACCAATCCATTACTTCCAAGCGCATCCCGTCGACCGATGATCCCGCGCGGAGGAGCTTCACATGGGCTGTGAGTAACCGCTCCCTCGGCAAGGACCTTTCCAACAAAGATGTCGCTTCTTCTTCGGAGAGCGCGTATAGTAGTAGCGACAACACGGCGCGCCTCTTAAACGGATTCAGCTTTGGTTTCAGTGAGACGAAGATTTCGGGTGGGCAGGCAAACATCGAGCTTAGGACTATACAGGAAGAGAGGGATATGGAGCGGAGGGACTCCGAGAAGATGTGGAGGGAAGGGATGTTGAGCAAGGTTTGACCCTTGGCGTTCTGGCGTTCGCTTTCTTTCATTTTTTTTTTGGGACATGGGATCTGTATAAGTATTTGGGAAAAACAACTATGTGTGGTGGACATAGAATCCGGTATGGCATGGTATGCGACATGCAAAAACGGACCACATAAGCAGCAACTTCCATCATATGCCACTCGACTTGGCTTTTTTCATTTGTTGCGGAGGAATTACAAGGACGGAAACATGATCGACGGCGGCCCAACTGCTCCTACTACGAACTGATCTGGTCTGGATCGAGGCACTTTGACTGCCTCTTTTCTTCATTTTTTTTCCTACGATGAATTTCTTTTCTCGTAACATACATACTTCTCTCCGACCTACTAGAAGCTGGGTAAAAACAGGATTTAATATACATCACTCCATTGCTGGTAACTTGGACAAGGGCTAGGTCGTTTGCAGAAGTTGTCACGTTATACCCCAGGTACAGAGTCGTGTAGTATCGAGACATCACGTAACGTGAGCGTTCTAAGACTTCAATCAAGCATTGAACTAAACCAAATTTCTATGTATGAATTTGAGTATAGTTTTCCTGTTTTTATGTGAAGTATCAGGACGCGA